TCAGAAAATGCTACTCAAAAATCATGTACATGTTGGAATATGACAAACTCACATCATTCTTTCCCACTTTATGCTACAATTAGCTGGATTCTGCTTTTTTTTTTCTGAAGTCCCTGTTCTCATCCTGTGCTATCTACTGTGCTAGAACTCACGTACTTGGAAGGAAATTTTTTTCCCCCTCCTAAAAATTTTACTATGGTCTGTAATGAATTACAACTTCAAGTTGTAATTAATAAGTTGCATTAATAAAGTGAACACTGTGAAAATGTCAGTGAGAGACACTGTTAATAGGAGGGGAAAATATCTTCTTGAAACTAAGATACATGTATGATCAATTGTGTATCTCTTCTTTTTAAGCTGCAACCGTTAGTGCTATATTTAATTACGGTTTGATAACAGAAGATAAGGTTATCTGTAAGAGCCTTGCAATTAAACTTCCGTTAAGTATTTTTGCACCTTCAGCCACTGCCTGAAAAAAAGTCTGAATCTGAAGAAGTAACACAGAGCATATTTCAGAAGGTTATTTTTCACTATAGTCTGATCCAGGCCCACTGTGCCAAATAACAGCAAAGTGGAGATGTGGAAGAGTATTAAAATCTGCTTGGCTCTGACTTTTCAGTGAACCATCCATTAATAACAAGAAGTGACACCGTGACTCTGTTAAAAAGATACAAGATTGTCACAAGCAATCACCTAAAAGACCATTTGGTTTGGTCCTTGCTGAACTGGGCAAGAAGAACGTGGAAAAGTCACTCGGGACAAACATTTGGCCAAAAAAGGTGGACGAGTCCTCACTGGAGAACTCCTCTCCTGCAGCCTCAGGTCCACGATGCAGTGGTTTTGATGATGTCAGTAGTGTGCTGAGGCAGTGACACAAATAAGCCTACATAGGTTAAATAACTCTGAAATTAATCATAAAACACCTCAGGATCTGGGCAGTTTAACAATGAGAAGATCTGCATGTAAACAAAGTACTCATGAAATACACCTGTAAAATTGGAGATCCTTTTTCACAGTAGACTTACACCACCAATGCCCCGTCCCACTCCTCCCAACATGGGAACTGTTCTCCTTTTCTCAGTGCTTCCACAGAGCATGAGGACCTTCATCAAGTAAACAGCACAAAGTATTTTCTCCTAGATCATGATGCAACACAGGAGGATTGCTAAATTGTGACAGACATCATCATCAAAAACATCCCAACTTTTGGAATACAAATCTGAGTGACAACAGCAGCCTACGATCCCACCATAAGACACGGACAGAATAAAAATAACTTCTTTTGATCCTCCCTGGAATTTAAGCACAGCACTGAGCCTGTATTTTAGCAGGTCCCATACGATGTATTTTGATTTCTGGATTACACTGGGACAGTGAGAAACTCCCTGGATCCTGCTATAATATATCTAGGACATAATTAATTTGAAATCCTCTAATATATGGGCAAAACTTAAGACCTTATTCTTTATTAAAAAACAAAGGAAAACGTAATTTTATAAAAGAAAGAAACAAGGAACAGCTCACCTTATTCTATGTGAATTGAATATATACATTATAGATAGATGTTTGCCAATTACACCATAACACTAGAATTCTTCACTGAAAGACGAAGAGCTTGAATAGATAAAGAAAAGAAAATCAAAGGAAACACTGGAAAACTGACAAGCCTGATTCAAGCTGCTTCAAGAAGAAATTATACTAAATATAAGACCATGAACACACCCATCTTGCTTCTCAGCAAAGAGCCTAAGGAAGGAAAAATTTTAGTGTTTTACTACGTTAAAAGGTTGGGTGTTTCAAATCAAACACAAAGAGCACATAAACGCCTAGTATTGGACACAGAAAGGGAACACGCTGCAGACAAAGGCTACCTAGCAGATGGAATCAGAGAATAAACAATTAACCAGGAGAGCAGCAACCCGACCCCACGGCCGAGCCCGGGGGTCGCGGGTCAGGGACAGCCCGGGGACAGGAGGAAAGAGGAAAACACCGAGCACAGACACGGGGCGAAGGCAGAGCATTTCAGGGTCGTTCCTTGCACACCGTCGGGTCCGAGCAGGGCCCGGCACAGCCCGGCGCCCCCTCCCCGCGGGGCCCACCCGCCCCCTCAGGCCCCGGCCCCGCGCACTCGCCTCGTCCGCGCTCAGCTCCTCCATCGCCTTCCTCTTAATGGTGCCCGGAGGAAGGGCGCGTTCCTCCGCCCCGCCGCGGGGCCGCTCCGAGGCAGCGCTCTCCTGCCGCCGCTGCCCCCCGGGCCGCCTCACAAGGGCATCTCCGGGGCGACCGCGCCGCGCCTCGCCCGCCGGCAGCACCGCAGCCCCCGGCCCGCTCCCCGCCGCCCACCCGCGCCTCAGCTGACGCCGCGGCCGAGGGGAAGCCGCCCTCCCGGTGCCCCCTTGCCCCTCAGAGCTCTGGACCCCGGCCCCCGCCCGCCCGCGGCCACTGCCCCGCGCAGAGATTATTCATCAAAACAACAGGGCGGCGGCGGCCATCTTGGGGATCACGTGACCCCGCGGGGGGCCGGGCACGCCGGGGCCGCGCGCGCGCCACGCTGGCCAATGGCAGCGCCCAGAGGGGCGGGAGGGGCGGGGCCCGAGGGACCCGGGAAAGGCGGGCCCGGGAGGAACCCGGGAGGAACCCGGGAGGGGCGGGGCCCGGGTCCGTGAGGGGCGGAGCCCGGGGGGACCCGGGAAAGGCGGGCCCGGGAGGAACCCGGGTCCGTGAGGGGTCCCGGAGAGGCGGGAACAGGAGCGGGAAGAGGGCAGCTGCCGCTCAGCGACGCCGCGATCCCAGGGAGGGTCAAGCTGCTGCAGCCTTCCCTTTCACCGGGTCCGTAAATATGAACCCCTTCTCAGCGACGAGGGATTGGGAATTCTAAGTCTAATTATTGCGAGCTGAGTAACAGACCAAGGAAAAAAACAAGATGCCAAGGCCCCATTGAACACTTGGTCTAGGCCTTTTCTAAGTGTAGTTTGAACATGAAGTATTTTTTTTTCCTTATTACAAACTTTTCTGCACCTAATTCCTACATTATACCACAAAATACTATGTTTCTGGAAGACATTTCCTTCCCACTCGAAATGAAACTCAGCTACAGAACAAACGGCCAGGCTCTGTGTAAGTACATTGGAGGCTCCCCCCCAGCTCAGCTTGTTTGGGTTAGAATACACGTAGATGAAAGAGAAAAGGATTTTTAGAAGTTGCTCTTTTGGCAAAGGATAAACGAATTGAGAGTTGCATCAGCAAGCTTTTAGCCCAGGATGAACAGTCCCTAGTAATATGAGCTGAACAGCGAGCCGTGCACGGGGCAGGGTGATCTGAGTCAGCAAGGGAAAGAATCCCGTAAAAGCTGGACAACGGGATGTTCTGAAGATGGATCTAAACTGATCCATATGAGCTAAAAGGAATTATTTTCATACACGCTGCAAATAATTATATAGCAATAGAATTGATCCATTTTTAAAATGCAATATGAGGCAGGTAGGCTATCTGCTCTTCTGTTTTTATATACATCTTTAATGTACTTCATTGATTTTTTTTTTTAACAAAATATTTTGATTACTTAACCAGGGTGCTCAGAAAGGAAACCAGTACTTGGATCATAATATGTATTGCCAGTCTTTTTATAGAACAGATGTATATTGTTACCTTTGATTTTCAGATTACACTTCATTTTGTGTTTATCTCCTTGGGATTTTTTTTTTAAGATAATTGAAGTGGTTTGAAGCACCTTTGACTAAAATCCTTCAAGTGCTTCTCTGGGGAGCTCTATTCTCGTCCTTCAGGGTCATTACTGCCTTTCTGTGCTGTGTATCACAGGTTTTCCAGGGGAGCGCAGCTCGGACGCGGTGTTTGGAAGATCTGCGCTGGATCTCTGCAGCTCCAGAGAAGCAGCAGCCGCTGCAGAAGCGCCATCCGGCGGTGCAGGAAACTCTGCCTGCTCTGCGTTTTATCCACGGATGTGAGTGCTGCCCCAATGTGTGATTTCTGCTAACATAACACTCTAATAGCAATTTTGTTTTTCAATCAAATCAAAGCACTCGGTTCCAGAAGGAAGGCGCTGTCAGGATCCATAAACACCACGCTTTTTACTGCTGGGCCCACATTTCCTTAACTGTATAAATACTATTAGTCCTTTTATTTTTAATATGGAAACCAGCTGAAATTTATACAGGTCTAGTAATTAGAGGAGGGTGTCAATCTAACTAAAAGCCCTCCATGCTTCTACTGATTGGGTCTGACTCCGATGGTGCCTTTAAGCATTTTGAACTGATAAGAAGTATCAGAAAGGAGGTGGTACTTGTTTCAAAATGTCAGGGACTATTTTTTCATATGAAGTAATTAAGTTACTAAACCTAAGCTACAGTTCTTCAAGAATATGCAAGGAAGAATATGCAGCAACTCATTTCATTTGTAACTACCTAATTTATCTGACAACTTACATGTTCACACAAGAAAAAATTTTCTATGCAATATTGCACATGGTCATAAAGAAAAGGATTTCATCTAATTGACAGTTGTATGCAAACAAAGCTTATCTAAAGCAGCATTGTTTTCCCTCTGTATATGTGCTTACAGAGTTCAAATATTTGCATCATTTGGACCCCTCTTCGTGGTTCTGGGATTTGACCACAGGCTTTTTTTCCTCTGGTAAGCTCAATTTAATTATTTTCAAGAACAAAGCAGCTCTGGCACAATATGGGGCCTCACACCACTGTGTGAAAGACACAGACAAGTAAAGCAGTAGTCTACACCTTAAAGAGATGCATTTTGAAAAATAAATCAATGGTTTTTTGTTGTTTGCTTCATTATCTGTTATCTTCCCTTCTCTCTCAGCACCCCACTCCAGCTGTTTTATTTGATGTTGACATGCCTCCTAGAATTGGTAGGTTTTCTTCTTTTAATTGACTTTTGATTACCTAGAGACCCAGGCCTCATCACTTATGTTTTGGGTTGGGTTTTTCCCTCCAAAAACATATTCAAAAGCAAGGTACTTAAGATTAGTTTGGTTTGGGGCATTTATTAGCAAAAATCAGATCTTTAACACTGGCAACAGCAGACGTATTTCCTGAGCCAGAAACTTTGACCATGCAGGTTAACAGGTACAGGAGTCAGTTCTGGTCCACAGAGCCCTCGCTGGACACGAGGCTCCTGTGCAGAGCTGTCCCTGCAGGCAGGACCCAGCACACCACACAGATTCAAGCTCTCTTGAAGACCTGTTTACATACTTGATTCTCACAACGAAGCTCCTACCAAAAAAAAAACCAAAACAAAGAGAAAACCCAGGAGTATAGATACATATAGTAATCAAAGGAACTGCTTCCAAAATTGAACACAGATCCTTTGCCATTGCTCTGGTCATGCTAATAACCTATGCTTAACATTTCAAATTTAACTACATGTTGCAGTGAAACAATGAAGCTGTTTCAAAGCAGAATGTGCTCACAACATACCACCCATTACACATCCTACAGTGCTAGAAGACTTGTGCACACCATGTCCACATTATAAACCTAATTTTTGCCCTACAGAGATATAATTAGTAGAAATTGGAAGTCAATACCAGGTGGAGGTCATCCCCTTCAAGCCAGTGAGTCCAGCCCCTGTTCTTCTTCTCACCAGTCTGGACACAGACAAGTTTGTCATTCTGCCAGGTAACAAGGCTCTGTAGAACAGGGAACAAAAAAGTGTTTCTGCATATCTGTCTCAGTTCTGCAAAATACTTGTAGAAAATGTGCATTTTCCTGGATAAAAAAGGACCTAGATATTACTCCTGAGTGAAAGTGTGTAACTCAGGCCCCTACTGCTGTCTTGCATCACAAATGTCATTCATGAAACAATTTCAGCTCAAGTTTCTGGATCGATCATGACACCTTAATTTTGTCACAGCCTCATATTCACTCTTACCTTGCATTTTCTGTTATCCAAGCCTTTATTATCTTCCTCAAACTCTTCTCCAACTTTGAATTCAAGCAAATAATCTCTGAATGTGCTAGTAGTATGGATATAGAATGAATCACCATCTTGTTTGATCACTTTCTGAGGCTTCAGCATTTTTGCTATTTTGCGTGTTGCAAAGTCGATACCTTGGACAGAAGGCAAAAATATCAGAGTTGTATTTATCACCAGCCATTCTGGCAGCCAGGAATTAACCTTCATCACTACCGGAAGAATTTCTTAGGTAGTATGATCTTACAGCTATGCAGCATTTTGTTGTTTTATTGGAACATTTAGTTTTGTTTAAAGCTGCATGTTACACAGGTTAAGTTGTCCTCTTGTACTTTTTACTCTTTGAAAAGCAGTTTACTCAGTTGTTGTACAATTCCTATATAAGATTTCCAGGACTTTGATTCAGAAGACTCCTGGAGAAATTTGGCTTCCCCAAGAGACACCCAAACTTGGTTTCAGTCTTCACCCCCACTTAGCAAGAGGTTAATGCCTATTCTCATCCTTTGACAGAGGAAAGGCAATGAAAGAATTAACAAGAACTCCCTGCATTCTATACCTTAAATAGGGTAAAATGAAAGTCAGTCCTTAAAATTCAAGAAGACCCTTATAGGAAAGGGAGGAAGGACAGAAGCAGGTATTTTCACCTACCTAAGGCCACCATATAACCTTCAAAGTTGTCATTGCTGACAAGGTTCCAGGTTCCACTGAAATCCACAGGCATTGCCAGACAGTAGAAGGAAGATCCAGTCAAAAATGCAAATGTAGTTTTCTAGGCAGGTCTTTTATAAGGCAGCCTGTGGGTGGGATTCTATCCCAGGACCTTTCCGCTGGAGGGGAAGGGTGCTACTGCTGAGGCAGTGGGTGAGAGGGTATTGTAGAATGGCCTCAGCTGTGCTGGAGGGAAAAGTTCACTGTATCTGAAATCTTTGTGTGGAGCAAACGTTAATAGCCCAAGAGCCACAATGCAAGCCAAAACATGGTTTAAACCATTTCCATCTTGTATACTTTAAGGGACTGATTTTGTCATTACTAAGATTTCCTGCAAGTTTATTAGATCTGGGGCTTTATGATCTGAAATCCAGATATTTGTTGAAAAGGTGATGTACTCCTGTAAAGACATGCTGTACTTGAACAGACATGGATTGACTCTTAACTGTGGATTGCATTATATCAACAAAATTTAAAGCAATACCTATGGCACAGAGATAAGAATTATGTTGGTTTATGTCTGGAGTGAATGGTAAACAGAATTCAAATAGTGATCTTGTGTATATAGGAGACGTAGCTCCTGCCTTTGCTTTCTGTTCTTGACACATAAAGCAGAGCTGATACAGGAGCTGTTCCCACTGATGCTTTATTAGATGCTACACAGTGTGTAGTTCTGGCAGAACAAAAGGAGCACATGATGCAGCAGATAAGCTTCAGTGTTGGACTTCACCTTCAGCAAAGAAGTGACAGAAATCCCTGATGACCCAGCAATATGTTTTGAAAAGTGAATAAAAAATGCTTGACTTGGAAGAGAAAGGACTTCGGGAATTTGTAAGTGAGGAAATAAAGGATTTAGAGGTGAGGAAACATACCTGTACCTACTACATTTATTTATTCACTGACTAGTGTTAGGCTGAATAAGAATAATATTTTGCAGAGAAGTTTCCCCAAAGTTTAGCTCCATTTTTGGAGCTGGCAGTTTGATCCATATGACTCACAGAATCATGCGAGTAGGAACTCAGGACGTCAAAGCTTCTTTCCTGTTTGCAGCTGGATATTGTTCTCTAACTTACACTAAACCAGAAATGGCACTGAGAAGTGAAAATGACTGTTTCCTCTCCACTCAAATAGTAACATTTCACCCACAATTTGCTGTTCTGAGGTTATGCTAGTAAAGCACTGCTGCAATACTACTGACTCTGGCAAGAAAAGAGAAGTCAGTACTTGGTAAGTCCTGTGTCAAAGTGCAGATATAACACTTTAATTTAAATTTTGCAGATAGTCTGGGGTGTGGTCTTTCTGTAAATCTGTACTTAAATCTCATACGAAGACCTCTAAAGGGCACCAGGGTTACTGCTTCAAGCCTCAGCTGCAGAATTGCCAACAGAGCTGCTAAGAACTGCCTATTGCTCTGGCCATCCTATGATGATTCATTTCTTTCTCCCTTCAAATTTCTCATTTTATTTTTGTGGAAATACTTTTTTCCATTCCCACCCTAGTTGCTGTGAAGCACTGAATATTTAACACATTCTCTTAGGGATGTAGCCTAATTACAGAAGCAGATCAAGTGGGTCTTGCTGCTGCTGCAGCATTTATAAAATACTTTGAGTCTAAATGACACGTGTGGCGAAAGGGCTCCGTGTTCTCTTTATGGTCTGACAAGAGTCCACTCCTGAAAGTTTTCCCTGTCTGACATCCTTGAACAGCCCCAGCACTGATTGTGGTGCTGGTGTTTTTATCTGACCGGAACAGGAGATAGCCAGTGTGCAATTACTTCTAGTGCTGTAACAGGCAGGTTCCTGGATCCCCCCAGTAAAACCAAGTGTCCACACCCAGCAGTCAGTCACGACTGTGGAACATGTCCCTGCTTCTAGCCTTGCCCAGCAGCATCTTGGCTGCCTGCCTGGAGAGTCTCACACTCAGCTGGGCTTGCTGATCTGAAAAACGTGACTGTGATCTTGTGGAGATCCCATGAAAGAGCTGTTGATCCATGGGAAAGTGGCTTGCAAACCTTGGCATTCTTAATGAGGCACGTATTCCAAACAAAAATGAGACAATGGCAACTAAAGGGAGGTAGGATTCTACCACCACAACAGTCACGGTGCTTCTCTAGTTTATGTTCACATTATATAGACAATACACTGTTAGATTCAAAACCAGGTTTCTAGCAAAGAAAAATATTTCACTTACGATCAGTATCGATTGTAATTGATCCTACCATTTTCTCTCTAGTAACAGAATACAATTCTGGCTATATATAATTATATTCTACTTATGGCTCAAAAGTAAAAGATACTTTATTATTTGAAATAAATGTATTATTTGTAATAAAGGGACAAGTGTATGAGAATCAGTGCAATGACACTATTATTAATTTCTATCTATAAAATCAATGGCTTTAAGCCGGTTCCTGAGGTAGGTTTGTCCATCCATCAGAAACAATACTGAGCTTAATATTACAGCCCTGGAAACATGAACGGAAAAGGAAAGTACAAGACATTTCTGGAAGCAAACTGCATGACAGCAAACAAGCAGCTGCATATCTCAAAGGTAAGCAGCTGAAAGTGTGCTATACCCAGCACCACCTCAGCCAGGAAATTCTTTGCTTCCAGGATAGAGCTACATTTTTATTTTGAGGTGAACCACATGTTGACAATTTAAAAAAAAATTTACATGGATTTACTCTGAGTAAATGGTACATCTTGAAACCAGGTAACTTTAAGACACTGTAAATTATTAAAAATACTTGTGTTATTGTTTTATAAATAGTAGAGCAATTTGAGCTAAAACTAATCAGAACATTTGCATTTGTTTTGCTTATACATTGGCAGTTTTCATGTACCAATGTGAATTCTTATACTCACTTCAGTGCACTGGGACAAAACATTAAAATTGTGAAAATCTTATTACTGGACTTGAAGAAGGTTGTGTAGCTCCAATCACTGAGTGTACCAAACTTCATTACTAACTCAGCTGTACAGAATTAGGCCACTATATACCTCAGAAAACCCCCCAGCCAACCCCCAGGAAACACACTTTCCTGTACTGAAATGTAGTCTTTTTCACAGCAGTCAGTCAGTCAGTCAGTTGTTCAGTGCCTGTGAGCTCCTGGGGTCACTGGCATGTTTCTGTAAGGGAGCCAGGACTACCCCAGCATTCCTGTCCTCGCTCTCCGGGCTGTACAGCCTGTTCTTCTCGATGTACGCCCGAACCACGTCCGGCACCAGGTAACGAATGCTCTGGCCCCTCCGCAGGGCTCTCCGGATCTTGGTGGAGGAAATATCATTTGTAATCCATTCTTCCACGAGGTGAATGTTATTCTTATGTCTCCACAAAATATCAGATTCATAGATGAACTTCTGAGCATTGTTTCCTGCCCTATTGATACACACAAGGCCGTGTTTTTCCACTATTTCTGTGATGTCCTCCAACTTCCACAGATTGGGGATCCCAAAAGATTCCAGCATGTCACTTCCACAAAGCAGTTTAACCTGTGGGACACCTTAAAGAGAAAATTACATGAGAAATAGGGTTTTGGTAGATTTTAGCAAACTTGACAGGGACCTTTAATTTCTTGTCTCTCTCTCTGCATCTTTGGTTAAGATGAGACAATGGAATGAAATTTAAAAGAAAAGATTCAGAGTAGATAAATTATAATTAGTAGCCATAACACAGGGTTTTTCTGAATAAAGGTTATGGGAGTCACTTTATTAAAGGGATCTAATGCCTTATGCTGTGGGATCTAAGGGAATAAAGTTACTGAGCAACATCAGAACCAAGAGCTACCATAAAAGTTACTTATCAGTGCAATTCTCTTGAAATAATAAGGATCATTAACCATTTAATTTGCAAACAGACTTAACTTTTTACAACCGGACTCTGATTTTTCTTTTTAATGGGCTCATGCCTATTTGGTTCCTGTCTTCTTTTCCGTCCCAGCTTTGTTATGGGTACAGCATCCTGCAGACTATTAGTGACATCAGCAGATAAAAGCTTTTGATGATGATACCTGCAAAATAGATGTATTTTAGGTATTTTAAAGATGCAGGAAAAAATTGGGATAGGATGGCCTATCAAAGAACCTATCTCTGCAATTATTCCAACTTGTTAGAGTTAACACCATTCCTAATCCTTCTATCAGATCATGAGACATTTTAGAGGTTGGCTGAAGAGTACCTTAAAACCTTTAGTGTTTCCAACCACTCGTTCTGGCAGCTTTCCCAGTCATCAACTTCCACCCAATCTGAGTTTTCTGTAGCCAGTTTTGCCATTGTCACTCGGTGATTCGCACTGATCAGACCTTTCTTCTTATATGCATCACCCACTGGTGAAATGATGCCTTTGATTACTTTGTATTTTCCTGTGGAAAAAAACACATAACACAAGAAGAACACGAGAAGTGGTTGAGCAGATGTTACTTCCTGTGCATTGTATTTAACCTGTGACATAACCATTATCCAGTGCAATGGCAGCTGATAGCCAGCCCTGTGGAAAAACACAGGACACTTCTGCAATGTCAGGGCAGCACAATGAAAGAGTAAGATACGTTAGAAAGATGTATTTCTATAAACTATAAATCCTGTGCTTTAGCTCATTAAAATCAGTAATAAGCAACACACATATGAGTTCTCTCATAATGGCCTACATGGCCATTTGTTTATAAGACATAAACACGTATCAGCTTCAATATCTAATCAGCAATATCTAATTGCAAAAATCTGTCACTGTCAAACAAGAATTCATAGACACAAAATATTAACCTTAGCGTTTAAATGTCTGGTTATCAAAGCTATTCCAAGTGATATAAATTACCATCCTACCTGTTTCATGGAAGTAGTCTTTAGCCAGCTCAAACAGCCTCAGGTGCATGTTAGTGATGGGGTTGAAGGACCCACAGGCCAGCAGTACCACTTCAATCTTCCTGTCAGGATCTTCCATGGCCATTCCTCACAGCCACAGAGCCCAGTGGAGAATGCTGCTGCCAGCCACTACAAGAAACTGGATAAGAAAGAGTGATTGTTACTTGTGCTGCCAACAAGCAAGAGATAAAATTTCAAG